TGGATTAATTCTCTGTGGATACAGCCAACGAGACGAAGCTATCGAGGGATTCCAAGTGACTGTACATGGGCGTCAACGAGGGAGGCACTCCTACGGATTACCTCCAACGGAACGGAGCTGCTGAATGAGTCGGCGTTTGGGTTCCGTTTTCAATTGTCATGAGAACTGCCCTGCCTTGTTACGCAGTCTCTGACATCTCAGGCAATAAGTGTCAATAGCAGGACGGATCTTGGCATGGCTGCACTGTTCGATCACACCACGGTCGATTTCTGATCAGCAGATGAGCAAGGCCTACGACCGACCGTACTCTTCGCTGTTGCAGTCCCTTTTCTACGGGTACGTGCGCCGTACTGTATCAAGGGATGGCGGTTGACGCACGGCTCATATGGGCATTTATTGAAGTGAATATCGCCTATTGGATATTCAAGGATCAAGGCTTAAAGTCTCAATGCTAGCTAGTTCGCGCCATCGGGCCGCATGGGACAACCGCTAACTGGGAAAGCCAGTCATCATGGTGAGCCTTCGTTTCCCCGACTCACCGGCTGCTTCACAGAAAGCCTATGAACTATTCTTTACCTTTGAGCGAGAACGATAATGCGACGGCGACCTTGGCCGTTCGGAAAGCGTGCGGCTCAATCAATCCTACTGAGACGAGCATTTCTTGACTGTGTCTCAGCTGCGCTCTTCCGTATCTTTGCGCGATCATGACGAATCAGACTCTTCGACACTGCGACACCCAAGAATATCACTCAGGTAGTGCCGCGCAGTTCCCACGTTTCCGAACACAATGGCATTCATGCTCCCAGTATCGAGTTGCTGAACGTGGTCACCAAAGAAGGCAGTATTCTTTTCTCGGGTCCCTGAGAATACGAGAAGAGTCTTAAGCGATGGAGTGACTCTGCTGCTATGCGTGCAGTGAGCTGACAGTTAACCAGTTTGGAGACTGAGATCGGTATCGGTATTGGCCCCCCTTCCCCCCTCGAAGCTCTTTTGTTCCCGAACTGACCTGAACTTAGCCACTGCGGAAGATGTTCCCGCCATGGTCAAGCTCGCTACGACATTGCAACTCCAACTCGCTCTCAAATGTGGTGGTCATTCAACTAGGGTGGCCTCATGTTCCGAAGGTTCTGTCATCGACCTATCACGTTGCGCTCTATTTATCTTGACCCCGTCAAGAAAGTTGCAAGTATTAGGGACGGATAATTGTCAGGAGATATCAATGAAGCACTGTGTGAAAATGGTCTTACCACTATGACCGGCACCAAGAACTCGCTGGATATGGTGGCTAGATCTTAGGCGGAATTTATGGTGTCTGACTGGCCGTTTCGGACTTGGATGTAATATAACCTATCGGAATTTAGAAATTGTCCTCGCATTGGAAGTGTTGTCATTTCTTCCGAAACGGAGGATTCAGATCTCTTCTGGGCATTGCGAAGCATAAGGGCGAACTTCAGTGTTTGCGAGGTTTAAAATATGTTTGTATCTACAGAAACCGCCCTGGCTCAGCTGCTGGGGGTTATCAATCAAACACATGAATACTACAGTGGCAGAGAGGCTCTTCTCTTCGGGCCGTTGACTCCACCACTGGCATTCGAGCCAGCCTGATGGCTGTGGTATTCTATGGCGGCATTCAGGATAACGTTGAGAAAGTACTTCGAGCCCCTCATCGACCTCCGACCCCTTAGCAGACACAACGCGTGACATGTCTTCTTGGCCGGAGACCAATAATGTCGTGGGCGGCACGTTGGCACCAGCCGCAAGGCCTAAGGCTTGGCTTATCATGCCATGCATCTAGTGCCAGCGGTTGTCAAGAGCGCAGATACGGTGACTTGTTCGCTTTCGTCAACGAGCAGAAGATACATCACTGTTGTGTTATAGCATAGGAGTTCTACCTGAGCGAGAAGGTCAGAGAGCTGAGCAACGTGGCCCACGCCTTTCGCGGCACGCAATGAAATGGATCCAACAATGGCTTGGCCAGGCTACGGATCAGGAGTTATAGGCCTTCAACGACCGGCATGACGCAAAGCTTTAAAGAAATACGGGACTAAGAAAGGCCGTCCAGCAGTATGTCAATTACGACGGTTTGGAAATGAAAAGGACGCTTGATCAATTTGTTGACTCTTGTTATGGTGTCCGACTAACCCCAGAGGAGGCTGTCGGGGTCCGATGTGGAGAGGCTTCAAGTAATATTTTCAGTGCTTAGATGATTTGGATGAATCACGCTACAAGGGATTACGTGCTGATACACATCTGATCATCTGATAGCCAATGCATATTACAATTTCAGTCTTCCATATTATGGGGAAATGGACGGTCGGCGAACCGAAAAGCATACGCAAGGACCCCGATAGAGGAATCGATGCCAGGCCAACTGTTGACTCCGTAAATTCCACGTTCATATCAAATTTCGTGCAACGTCAATGGCTTATATACATGCGTCTTGCATAACCAATCGACACCCACATGAATGCGAATATTCTTCTAACATGACAGGGAGATCGGCAGTTCCGAGTCAGCCAAGTCATGTGGCTCGGCCTGTTCCCCACGTGAAGCAACCCCCATCGGTGCATGTGAGGTCGAACCAGGCCATCACTACCGTCTCGTTGGTGCCAATATCGTGAGTCACACCAGAAGCACTGGTCGCCTCAAACCAGTCGTTTCCGTAGATCGACCTTGTCCAACCGGCTTTCGGTACATTAGCTGTGACGCTGGTGGGCACCTCGCTCAACCCAAACACCGCCGTCCACTGCTTGACAGCCTCGCCGTAGTTGGCGTAGTTGAGGACCTGATCTGCAGTGCCGTGGAAGAGTTGGAGTTTAGGTCTCCACCCATCATAACCCGGGTATGCCGCCTCGACGATGGCGGCCCACTCAGCAGCGGTATGGTTGACCTTTCCAGTTGCACAGGCGTCACTCCAGACGTCATAGCCATCTCCGGCAAAGCATCCGAACGGCACCCCAGCCCAAGCCGAACCAGCGGCAAAAACGTCAGGATAGGCACCAACGAGGACGTTGGTCATCATGGCTCCGGATGAGACGCCCGTAACGAAGACCCGACTAGCGTCGCCACCATATTTGTCAAGTGTCCACCGGGCCATGCTGACGATACCCAGACTATCACCTCCAGCATCGTGTGTCAATGTATCATTCGAGGAAACATCCCAGCATTTATCCACGAGGTTCGGGCTGTCGGGATATATGACAATGAAGCCGTACTTGTCAGCCAAAGCCGAGAACTGGGAGCCGGCATAAGCTGCGCTGGCGGAACCATGGCACGCATGAGGGTTGACGAGTATTGGCGGGCTGGTGGCAAGCTGATCCGGGACATAGATGGAAAATCCCACATCAGTTGGGTTCGGCCCAAAGTACCCGGTGACGTTCTGGAAAGACGCTGTTTGAACTGTGAGAGGTGCCAATGCGAGCAACGTCACCACACCCTTCTTAAAGTTGAGCAGCACCATTTTATCTCCGACCAAGGCGTCCAATTTGAGGAACACTTACTCTAGAGTGCTCACCAGACAAGCGTGATGACGCTGAACCTAAATACTCTGACTTTCTGTGTTGATGGCGACTTTAGAGCGTCATGATCACTCGTCTTCCGGATTCCAGCCGAGTAATACGGGGCATTTAGCCGCAATCACGGAAGGACGACGTCCGCGCCTGTGCCGGGGTTAGCTGCGGGGCGAGAACAGCGCAATAGGGATAGAACGGGGAGAATTCGTACCACTGGACTGGGCACGCACTCGGAGATCAATCAACGACATCTCCGGTAGAGAGATGTCCCGCCAATTGGCGTTGCGAGATTCTGACCTTTGAATGGCCCACTTACCATGGGCGATGCATGCTGGTATGGTATAGTAAGAAAACCGCATAAGGCTGAGAGCTGCGACTGTTCTGCTGATACACGAGTAGACCGCATAGAATGGTGACGGTTCTTCCCCAGTAACTCTGACCATGATATAAGCCGGAACAGGCATGATTTTATCGGATCATAGTGGGGTGATGATAGACCTGTTCGCAATTGTACTGTACCAACGTGGCAAGGCAAGTCAAAGTGTGTACTGTACGTGTCGTTGGGCGGTCAGGCGAGAAAACTAGGTACCTAGGTAGGTACCTAGTGCAGGCGTCGGGCTAGTCTCGGAATGCCGTTGCATCTTGAAGAACAAGTAAAACAACCACGTGGTTTACTATGTAGTCATGCCCTATGGCCGGCCCACTGGGAGTTTCGCGCCAATCAATTCGCTTCCTTCATTCGGACTATATTAGTGGAACTTGCCTTTTTAGGCACTCATCTTGTCACCTGACATCAATGCTCAGGCGCAACAGAAAGAAAGAAGCGCCGTGTACTGTAAGTCTCTGGAGATAGCATTGCGATAAGTACCGTAGGTAGGTAGGTATATGGGATGGTCCGTGCCACGCATATACCAAATTCAGGTACTGGGCTAAGTTAGTCTGCGAAATGTTGTCAGGTCTGATTAGACTTTGTCCATTTTAGAATCGGTCCTGGTTCGGAATCTGTACCCGGAAAGTTGAGTAAAGCTGGGACCTGCGGTTTGGACCAATCGGCAACTCCAACCAGGAGCCTGATAGAGAAGGACTTTCTGTTACAGATTCATCGGGACGCGTTGACTTCTGGAGAGACTCGTTTAGCTCCGGGACTGTAAGTCATCGCGCAAAGACCAGCTAGCTTGCGCACAATTATGCACCTACCGTACCCTTTGGACTAGGATGCAAGCGAAGAGGATAGATAATTAAGTAGGTGTTGGACAAATCGCAGAAATCAACGAGGACTCTACTCTACGCTACACGATTGGCTCACCGATAGCGGAGGTAGCAAATGGAAACTCTAATCGAATTGTGTAAGTCGCCCGCCCCTATACAGAAGTAGGAAGGAAAGAAACGAGAACGACAGCAAATATCACGGTGGATGACATCCCGAAAACTCTCCTCTATAGACCAACGAGATATGATTGACCAAAAAGGACCGAGCTGGGCAAAAATTGGAGGAGCAGGTGATCGAAACCTGGACCTTCCGCAGAATTGCCAATGCAAAGCGGACGCTCTACCACTGAGCCACACCCCCGTTAACGCCTGTTTTTATGCTTGGCAAATTGACTGGGTGTTTCGTAGAATAAGACGTGGCTACAAATGTATCTATTCTATGTCACTACAGCCCACATTCCTAGCATGGAGCTCAACCCCGCTTGGAACAAAGGGTACCTAGGTATCCATCGGTACTCCCGATGTTCTGCCGTAGTGACAGCTGAGATGTAAGAATCTAACGTTCGGTACTTGGGTGCCTACCCTTTATTCCTGGCATTTCTGCATTGGAAATTGAAACGAGTAGTGATGTTTACCTCTTGGTTATTGTCTAAGTAGAGGACGTGCCGCAGCGTTCACGGGCCATTGATATGATACCCATGCCGTCACATTTCTACATCTTCATAGATTAGGCAATGTCTATTTCAGGTCAACTCGAATGGCTAGGTACTTGTGCACTGTCGCTTATAGTTCTAAGCGTTCGCACGCTATTTCAAGCCATCTCGAGTTGCCACAGCAGACGAATGCCCAGTATACTTGAGCAAGCTTCGTTGTGGCCGTTGTCTCCTTGGAATAATCAGAATTGTTGTACGTCTGACTGTTTATCCCAACAGATGTCCGATGGGACTAATCGCGGGAGGCTCATCTTTGAGTTGGACCATGTAACGTAGGTAGGTAGGTAGGTAGGAGGTAGGTAGCTACCTAACTTAGCTACTTACCTACTTAGCTAACCACTGAACACCGCGCTAGATCAGATTATCAAACCCTTGTCGATTCGCCCGCCGGACCCTCACCCCTCTCCATAGCAGTGAGACTCGCAACTTGACCCATATATCAAAGCTACACTACGTGTCATAGAAGCAACCCGTGACCTTGTAGTTGTGCTTGATTGCTTCAAACTTTACGAACTTTACGACTTACAGCTGCGCAGCTTAAGATAGCATCATGGCACCGCACAATGTCGTGGACGAGGGACCGACGGACTTGTCACAGCAGGTTGACGACACTCCCGTGCTCCCACCACCACCACCACCCAAGTCTGCGAAACCGCCGAGGATACTCGTGATCGGAGCTGGCTCACGTGGTCGCACATATGCTCGAGCTGCTGTTTCGTCAAGCAATGGCGTAATTGTAGCTGTCGCCGAGCCTGATGAGTACAAGCGCCAGCAATTTGGCCGGAACTTCATCCATGGCGCTGATGAGCCCTCTGAAGGGTCGTTGTTCGTTGGCTGGCGTGACTTTGTCGCCTTTGAGAATGACCGCAGGGAACGGGAAAGCGCCGGTGAAGCAGTCTCTGAAGGCGTTGATGCCGCATTCGTCTGCGTCCTCGACGAAATGCACCATGATGTGGTCGTCGGCTTAGCGCCACTTGGGCTCCATATCATGTGCGAGAAGCCCCTGGCAACAACACTTGCAGATTGCGTCAGCATATACAGAGCTATGGCACCACATCAGAAGGAGAAGGTCTTCTCAATCGGTCATGTCTTGAGGTATAGCCCACATAACATCATGTTACGCAAGCTGCTCCTAGATGCCAATGCAATCGGTGACGTCTTGAGTATCGTCCACACTGAACCTGTCGGATGGTGGCACTTTTCGCATAGCTATGTCCGGGGCAATTGGCGCAAAGAATCAACGACGGCGCCATCCCTATTGACGAAGAGCTGTCACGACATTGACATAATTCTATGGCTGTTATGCTCTTCAGCACCGGGCTCGAATGCACCACCACATCTCCCGTCGACTGTATCGTCTTCAGGCTCGTTGCAATTCTTCAAAAAGAGCAGAAAACCGAAAGCGGCTGCCAATGCTACTAATTGCTTGAGCTGCCCCATCGAACAAGACTGCATGTACTCCAGTAAGAGAATCTACGTCGGCCCGAAGCATCAAGGTATCGAGACTGGCAACACGCATTGGCCTATCAGCATCGTGATGCCTGATATCGAAAGCTTCGATAAAGGGCAACGCAAAGAAGCATTGCTCACTACACTAGCGGAAGACTACGATGCGTCAACCCCTGAAGAGAGTATCGAGAAGCGAAACTGGTTTGGGCGTTGTGTCTTCGAGTCAGACAACGACGTATGCGATCAGCAAGTCGTCACTATGACATGGGATGAAGACCCTCTGCCACCGCACGCCTCAGATGCAGATCTACTACAAGGTAGAGGGTCGAAGCAAGCGACGTTCCACATGATTGCGCAAACAAAGAAGCAGTGTGACCGTTATTCATATATATATGGGACCGAAGGCGAGATTTACGCAGACTCGAGAACGATCACAGTTGAGGATTTCCGCACAGGGGAGACAAAGACTTACAAGCCACGCCTCGAAAGCCTTGGCCATGGTGGTGGCGATGTTGGGTTGACAAGGCAATTCATCCTTGCAGTTGATCGAGTAAAAAACCACGGCTGGGCGGCGGAGAAAGCACAGACTGAGTACATCGGATGCACTCTCGAAGAAATAATTCGAAGTCACGCGATGGTCTTCGCAGCTGAAGAGGCAAGAACCGGGAAGAAAGTCGTGGAGTGGAGACAGTGGTGGGATCAGGCAGTTGGCCATATTTAGAATATACCCCCCGACTCGGCGGAGGAACTTGCGTTGGCGGTTACTTGATGCGTATGATGACATGAACGAATGTTCCAGGAGAGGTTCCAAGTAGTAGCTTCGCCGTCTGCTAGGTTTTCTTCGAGCTGTTAGGCGGTTAGACTGTTAGGCAGTCATGCTGTCCTGCTGTCAGATGTTACAGAATTTGATCTATATATTTACCTAGGTACTGCTTGGCTCAAGATATCATGAGATCATTAACTGATGCTTCCTTCTAACCGGTGAATGTGACTTCTAGGGGTCCTTCTCATCGATGCTCACGGCCATTGACTCAAATAACAGACTCCACGTGCTGGAATCTCACTCCCTCTTCTTGCCAGAGATCGACCTCAATGAGAGCTAGGTTGTGTACCTCCTTCGGCCCTTCTTTCGAGCGGCCTACACGGGAACCTGATGTTACAAGATGAGATCAAGCTTGACAATATGCATATCTCTGTATTTTTATGTCGGACAGGCGAAAGAGGTCCTGGTCCAAGAGACCTCCAGTGGAGCCTTAGCATCACAAAGAATGGCGCTGTAGTAACCCCCGGGCGAGCACGCCTGCCCCAATGCAGAAGCAGGTGCTGCCGGTCTCGACCGAGATGCAATAGCATCTTAGTAACATTGGACGGAAACGAATTCAAGACGATGAGGGCCCAGATCACCGAGGATGAGCGAGAGCTACTTCCGAGCGTAGAACAAGGCGTTCCATGACCCTAAGGATACCTAGCGAACATGCAGCCGGCAAGCAAAGATACTTGTACTGTACATTATCAGCTTCCTGACCATTAATGCCATCCCCGATATCGAATAGCTCCAAGTGGAAGTCGCGATGCTCAGTCCAGAGCGAGCCATGAGTTGGGTAATCTTCACCACAGCACCATCGCTATCTTAGCCTGTGCGATCAACAAAGGCGTCTAGAGTGTAGCTTAGGCTAGATGTGTGGATACTGCAGTGATAAGGACTTAGACAGCGCATGACGACGTATCTAACTAGATACCTAGGTAAGTAGTAAACTGCGAAATGGTTCTAATAAGTCAGCCGAATGGAAAGAAAGAATGTGCATCTCGAGCAACCCGGATTTCGCAATCAGAGCTAGCGTGCTATCGAGTCAACTTTGGACAGGACATGGGCCGCCTATAGCCGGTTGAAACGGCATGGAAGATGACAAGGTATGGAATGACCCCCAAGGGCGACAGTGCAGAGGCGTTGTTGTTCTTGGTGTTGTTGTTGCAGCAGCAGCAGCAGTAGTAGTAGTAGTAGTAGTAGTAGTAGTAGTAGTAGTAGTAGTAGTAGTAGTAGTAGTAGTAGTAGTAGTAGTAGTAGTAGTAGTAGTAGTAGTAGTAGTAGTAGTAGTAGTAGTAGTAGTAGTAGTAGTAGTAGTAGTAGTAGTAGTAGTAGTAGTAGTAGTAGTAGTAGTAGTAGTAGTAGTAGTAGTAGTAGTAGTAGTAGTAGTAGTAGTAGTAGTAGCCGTTGTCGTTGTCGTTGTCGTTGTCACCCATGATTGGGCAGTTGCGACAGCGCGGGGTTGCTCACAAGAAGAGGTTCTGCAGTCTGCAACTACCTGTGTAAAATACCTCGGCATTCCTGAATGCTCTTCCGTGCAGGGGTATTCTCACAGTCTCAATCGTATACCTAGGTACTTACTTAGTATAGATGGTGATTTGCAGAAAGCTCCCCCAAGCCAAAAGTGACAAGTTATGCAGTTGAGCCACTGTCTGCTACGCTACAGCGACAGCCCTGTCAACTCGTCACTATCAGTGCACTACCTTACGGCATCAAAACGCTATCTCCAACCTCACACAGGCAACACTAATTGGAAGGGCAATTGCTTCGGTCATGCGACGATAGCGTTTCAGGTTCCATCTCTTGACCGATGACTGTAGCGCTCGCAAAGTGACCTGCTTAAGATATAGTGGTGACCCAGTGTGTTGGGTCGGGTTGAATACCTGAGAACACGGCTAGTGAAGGAAGTACTGCCTTGCAGCACATCCCATGCGCTGCAAAACTTCCATGTTCCTCTGTTTCATTCACTCACAAGCAGACTCAGCGGCTACGCAGTCACTGGCATCAACGGATACGCCTCGGTCGTGCCCTGCAGGGCCGGTGTCCAGGAACATCTCTTCTCATCTCGTCTTCGGTCACCGCATTTACCATCAATCGGAAGAAGTTGACGATGGGCGGCCTCGCTTTTACCAAGGGCGCCAACGCCTTGCACACTCCTAGAATGTGTCCAGACATTTACCAGTATGTCAGAGACCATTGCCACAGAATGCTGAGAGAACTGTTCGTAGTTGTCGCAACACCAATTGAAGGACCGGGCAAGAGCGACTATGGTGACGTCGACATCTTCGTCGCTTGGAAAAGGCAGGTGCTATTCCCCAGCTCTGCAAATGGATCTGTTCCGGGGGCCAGCGGCGAGTATCCCTTTGATGCCATAAAGCGACTACTACATGCGGA